TACACGGTCTACCGGGGGTCAAGAACATCTCGGATGATATAATTGTTTTCGGCAAGGACAAGTCAGAACATGACAGAAATCTGCATGGAGTACTTTCTCGACTTCAAGAACGGGGACTTCGTTAAACAGTGCGAAATGCATGTTCAGTGTTTCGGAAATAACTTTTTTTGGCTTTGATATTTCTGCCCGTGGGATTCGCCCGAACGCCCAGTCAGTCGAGGCTATTTGTAATGCCCCGACACCCACGAATGCTTCAGAGGTTCGCAGTTTTCTGGGCCTAGCCAGTTTCTGTCGGCGATTTATCCCAGCTTTTTCCACCATCGCTTACCCCCTTTCCGAGCTAACCCGTAAAGCTGTGCCATGGCAATGGACCAACACCTATCAATCCTCGTTTGACAAACTTAGGAAAATGCTAACTAGTGACTGTGTCGTGGCCCACTATGACCCTGCAGCTCCCACCCAGTTACGTGTCGATGCTAGCCCTGTTGGTCTGGGGGCTATTTTGACTCAAACCCAGCAGGGTGTGGTGAGACCCGTCGCATATGCCAGTCGAACGCTTACCCCATTGGAACGCCGCTACTCCTAAACAGAGCGTGAGGCCCTAGCAGTTGTTTGGGGCTGCGAAAAGCTTCACCTTTACTTATATGGCACCACCTTTGACTTGCTTACCGATCACAAACCCCTCGAGGTGATTTATAGTCCCACCTCAAAGCCCCCAGCAACAATTGAACGCTGGGGACTACGCCTCCAGCCTTACCGATATGTTATCTCGTCTGCCCTTGCCAAACACAGTGCACCGAGAACGGAACATTGCGTATGTCCACTACATAGCCCGCAACGCCATCCCCAAAGCAATGACCCTTACTCAGCTAGAGTAGGCTATAGCGCGAGACCCCGTCCTCCAGCGAGTCCACCAGTCAGTCGTCTCGGATAACTGGCAGAAAACTAAAAAAACAGATCCCTATTTTTGCGTTAAAAATGAACTGACAGCGACAGAGTCCTTACTTCTTCGTGGCTCGCGTATCGTGGTTCCAGCCAGTCTACAACCTACCACCCTACAACAGGCACACGAAGGCCACCAAGGGATTGTTCGAACAAAACAGCTCTTGCTAGAAAAAGTCTGGTGGCCTGGGATCGACAAAGACGTTGAACACTTGATTCGTTCCTGTATTTCCTGTCAGGCCCAGTCATGCCCACAGCCACTTACCATGACAGAAATGCCTTCACGTCCGTGGACCGTCTTGCATGCTGATCTATGTGGTCCTTTCCCTAGTGGTGAGTCGCTTCTGGTTTTAGTTGATTCATGTTCTCGATGGCCAAAAGTTTTCATTTTAAAGAACACAACTGCAGCAGTCATCATCAATCGCATGAAATCGTGCTTCGCTGTGCATGGTCTCCCAGAAGCAATCGTTACAGACAATGGACCTCAATTCGTGGCTGAAGAGTTTGATTTGTATTTTCGAGAGCACGGCATCACACACCGTCGAGTAACACCTTATTGGCCACAAGCCAATTCCGAAGTCGAACGGTTTAACCGCACACTCGAGAAGGCCATTCGCGCTGCAAATACCGAAGGAAAAGATTGGAAAAGCGAGCTCAACACCTTTTTACTCAATTACCGAACAACAGCCCATTGCACTACTGGCAAATCACCCGCTGTTCTCTTGTTTGGTCGAGAGATACGCACCAAGCTCCCGTCGTTGAACACTAGCCGTTCGCCAGCTTCAACGTCACCTGTTGTCGACCCCGCCATTCTAGAGCGTGATCGTTGTCAGAAAGCAAAGATGAAGAAGTATGCGGATGAGAAAAGACGTGCAGCACCTTCCAACATAAAGAGGGGTGACAAAGTTCTTTTGAAGCAAGAACGAAAGAATAAGTTATCCACAAAATATGACCCAGACCCATATATAGTGATAGGAACGAAAGGCACAAGTTTACTTCTAAAGAGACGAGCCGACCCGAGATAATGAGGAATTCGTCAGCAGTTCGCAAATTTCCGCCGGAGGGAACAGATAGTCATCCACACGAAGCCAAACGGAAACCAGACCAAGTGGTCGATACAACAGCAAAGCCTAGACCCCAGCGACAGCCTCCTGAATATCTTGGATATGAAAAGTGACATTCACACAGTCCGGAAGAGTAAAACAGTATACGAATTGACAGTTACAAACTCTGACAATTAATTGATATTTAGTTTTGCATGTTTATTGACGTTTGGTTAAGCATTTTCACGTAAAAGAGGGATGTAGTGTCTGTGACGTCACAGTCACGTGAGGAATACGAGGAGAGACAGAGTAGTGTTGGAGAGAGAGTATTGTAGTAAACGAGCGAGAGAATAAATCCTTAAAGTTTGATAATATAAACACTTTACTCCTGTTGCACTAATATCGTCCCCTCCCCCGAGGAGGAAAACTGTTCTGCACTTCTGCAAAAAAAAATAAACCGATACTGCACATGATGTTTATGAACCGATACTGCACATGGTCTTTTTTATTTTATGAACCGATACTGCACATGGTCTTTTTTATCAGTATAAATAAAGATTTTATTATTATTATGTTACGAAATTTTTAATTGTTATAACTGTGACAACTGTGTTAACAGTATGTAGATAGTTTCATAAATGCATGAAAAATATTATTTTCAGTTTTTAAAATGACTCGATGGTAAAAAGTGATCGATATAAAGTTTTTTCTTCTGGATGTTCTGTGTTTTCTCTCAGTTCTGTACTATAGCATAGATAATAAGACGCAGCGTCGCAAAGGAGAGCGAAAAAGATAGAAATGCATGTTATCAATGGACCCGCAAGTAAGGAAAAGTAATCGTTTCATGGTGCTCAAAAGTATCAAGTTTGTTCAGTTTCATAATCTGTCCAGTTAATTTTGTTTTATTCAATTAATGTTTTCTTCGGGTCTTTGATGAAATCTTTTCAGGTTCGAACAAATAATGGCTTAACAGCAGCAACATTGTGTCGGCTTACTTCCATGCAGTGCTTGTTCCTCTTTTTCGCCTCCCCGCGCGGCGCTACGTACACCAAGTCACAAACATGGAACAAGTAATGTCGTCGCTTGAAAATGTGTAATAATCAAATTTGATTTCAGTTTTTCATACTTTTACCAATCAAGCAACCATAAGTCGAATTCCTAACATCTTCTGCAAGAATATGCCCGGTATGCTGGAAATACAGATCTTCTATAACTATTTCCCCCCTTTTTCATGAAATAACGGATTATGTTGCCAATCCAAGCATAAAGCCACCAGCAAACCCACTTGCCACCACTATATTCTTTTTAACGACTTCACCACCCTAGCGAAATGCAGTAGAGGATAAATAACCACATTCATACTTTCTTTTTGTGACGGCGTTTATAATAATGGCAGATGATCTGTATATACATTCTTAAAATTAAGAAACATTCCTTGACATTTATTTTGTCTGATTAATAATCAGTGGCGAAGCCAGCCCGACAATTTGGTCATGCTATGCAAATTTTAAATCATCATTATTCATTTCTCTAGAAATTGGTTGTTTTAACAGTCAATGAACGCGGAAATATTTGCATAGCATGACCAAATTGTCGGGATGGCTTCGCCACTGCTAATAATTATTGCGAACTACGAAGTGCCTTAAATGAATCCCATCGACTCTCCTAATATGCTCCCAACGAACCCTACTATGCTCAGGATACTGGAAATTAATGTGTGAAAGAGCGCTCACCTTCTTAAGATATCTTGCGATTTCACCCTGTTGTTCCTGGGATGACGTGAACTCTTCAAACTTTTCCGTGATATTCCCGGAGACTTTTCCCATATCCTTATTAATTTTATTCCAGTTTATTGTGACATAACCAGACTGTGAGGCTAGCTGCAACAGGAAATTAAAAAGCGAACAATTATTAGGTAACGGTTATTTTTTATTTATTTTAAATATAATTTAAATTTATATATTTACGGAGGCGTAGTCGTCAGAGCAAGCTCCTTTCACCTCTGAGGTCGTGGGTTCGATTCTCGCTAAGGACTCATGTAGGAAGAATCAATGGACCTTTCCCCTTATAACTAAAATTTCGATCTAGACAAAAATTTCATCACAGCTTGAAAGAGCATCACAAAATTAGTAATATTCCAAAGTTTTGTTGCAAAATCTTGTAAAATGCGGATAATATAGCCTTGCGAAGTTTGCCGTTTTTCAGTCATTTTGTATTACAAACGGGAAATTGACATCCGATTCGGGTGTTGGGGCTGCAATTTCCCGTTTGTAATGCAAAATGACTGAAAATTGCAAATTTCGCAAGGCTCTATTTTCCTCATTTTACAACATTTTGTAACAAAACTTTGGAATATTACTAATTTTGTGATGCTCTTTCAAGCTGTGATGAAATATTTGTCTAGACTTGCCTAGATCAAAATTTTGGTTATAAGGGGAAAGGTCTATTAACGCTCGTCAGCGAAAGTCGTCGGTTTTTTCCGGGTGCTCCAGTTTCCTTCCACAGTGAAAGTTGACAGGGTAAGTTACGATAAACACAGTTAAGAAAGTAATATCACATCGTCAGTGTAAAGATAAAATAGTCCAGCGTACGTATAATAAGAAGCCTAAATCAACTCACTAAAATTTACAAAACTACGTTAAAACAAAAATAGTAGACATTACAAACAGCAAAAGAGAGTTGGATAAGGGCTTGGCAAACGGACTCGACGTCTCAACATTAAGGGAAACCCCGTACGTTATAATTACAACTAATTTTACACTATGACAACAAAATACACATAAAAGTTCTCTAAATACTACTGAACAGCATACGCCATTCTTGTCATCTAACGCTAGTTTGGAAACTCTAACTATATGTATCAAACGCGCATGCGCTAGACTAATTTAGCAATAATTATCACTAAAATATTTTGAAAATCCTTTCTAAACTTTTATATATAAGTAAACAATGCATGACGTTAATTGATATGGATAACGAACCACAAAACTCAAAGTTGTAATAAAACAATTTGAACTTCGTGACTGTGTGCCATGAATTACTGAACTCTAGCCATTCCTGGCCTGGTCGTTCAACTACTGAGAGTAGAAAGTAAATACGTATGTAATTAGGTAATTGAAATACTTGATAAAGCACAGCATATCCACATGTAAATTCACGCTATAGTATATTAGTATAGAACATAAGAAAAGTATAGGTGGAAAGCTAAACATTCCCAATACTGATTTACTTATTTGTCTGATATCAATTTAACTTTATCAGTGTTGCACACTATGTAGGTAATACAATACCTGTAACACGAGTAGTCCACCGCCTAAAGCGAGTGCAGTTACTTTTCCAACCTTCTTAAATACATTGCCCACACACCTGAGAATTTAAAGAGGTGATTATGATCAAGTGTTATTGAAAAAAATTGACGGAAAAGATAGATGCTGTCACGCATTGCATCCCTGTTATATCGGTTTCTGGCATTCCTCGTGTTTGGCGAAAGCGCAGCTTCGTTCAGTACAAATATTTGTTCGTCTGTAACCGGAACGAAACGAGAAGCCATTTTGTTTTTGTCCAGAAGTGAATAGTGCAAAGATATCTGGAGCTGTGCATCCAATCAAATTGCGCGTGGAGAGCACTATCCACGTGCACCTCCCGAGTATAGGATAACAAATTAACAATAAATATTTCAGAGGCAATAACTTTTTTTGTCTTATAATGCTTAAAAAACAACTAAAATAGCCAAAGATTTTCAAACTGAAATATCAAAAAATTATACGCATGCATCAACACTTTTGCTTAAAACATAGAACTAGCAATGCATATAAACAGAAAAACTCAACGTTTTTCAAAGAGTAACGGTAAGCGATCACTTTTATTGATTTTCTTTTATTAAAAGTGTTAACATAACATTTTATTTAGCAAAAGTTTGGTTTTTTCCCTATCTACTCCTTATTAAAATCGTGAAATACACTTGCTGGGAATTTCAAATGCTCATGTATAAATCAAAACAGCGAATGATATAAATTCCTCAAAATATAACTCTCGCATAAAAAAAGCATGAATACTTCTATAATATGTATAGTTTTATTCCTCTGCATTATCAAAATTTAATAAAATAGTGAATTAATATAATTTTAAAGTTTATTTGATCGGTGTGACATAATTTGCCGCGAGATTCGTCTCTGTATATCTCTCCTCTGTGACAATGCCTCGCGTGCTGTGCAAGGCGGCGAGGCCTAAAAACGTTTAAATTTAGCACGCACATCCTGCGGGATTACACTTCTTACCCCACTATTCACTAACAATGTTGAGTTATATTAATGCTATTTTATTTTTTCTTTCATGCATGAAAATATTTTTTGGGACTTGTTTGCCGGATTTTTATGTACTATTTAAAACATGAGCAGTAGTGTTTTATCTGATATATAAAGATACAAGCCGAAGCCGAGTATATTTAACAGTTATTCTACGAACTCGAGTCGAATATGAGCTGATAGAGTAAGTGGAATAACTGTTTTATCATATTCGACGAGAGTGAGTGGAATAACTGTTTTATTATATACACAAGGTCTGAATTCACGATGTTTTTATCTTAATTCGCTCTTTCGGCCGATTATTTTTTCAAAAATATATATTTTTAACCATTTTAAATTTTAAAAATTCATGTGCTAACCTGTAAACAATTTGTGGGAGTTTTTTCGTCGTGTTTTTAATCCTGTAAAGGCTATAAAAAGAGAACAACTTGCCATTTTCTCGTTCGTAAAACGTCGGAAATTCAGTTTGAACCGCCATTTTGTTTTTCTCTACTAGCAGGATATGAGCTAATATCCTGCCAGTATAGTAGAGAAACAATTAGCCTGCGAATACAGACGCCTACGGGACCGACCATTTAACTTTTGAGGGGGGGTGATTTACTACTGGCAGGGAATTTTTTTCTGGGATCGTATGCAAGATATTTTTTTCCTACCCATCACCATGTACGATTTTTTTTGCCACTCTCTTTCGCAGCATTTTTTTTCAATAGCTTATACCATTTAGGTTCTTTAATTATAGTTAACGTTGAGTTTTCTAGCTTCATGCATTGCTTTTAATAATACATATTGCTATGAGGTATAACATTTGGTTCAAAGCCTCTTTTAAGGATGTGTAACTGAAGAGGACATATTTAGCGGGGGACCTGGTCAGGAGAAGTTCCAGTCGGTAAGTCTGTATCGGCCTGTATCACTGCAGCTACCAGCATATATATGCATGGTTTAACTAATAAGTATACGTCATAGGACAGCAAATCAGGCCATAACTAGGATTCTGAGACAACCGAGTCAACCACCGAAGGTGCGAGCCTCTAGAGAGGTCTGGGGGCATGCCCCCCAGAAAAGTTTGGATTTCTTGAAGCTCAGAGCCTCAGATAAGCTATTTCCAGCATTTTGAGGAGTTTTCCAACAAGAAATTAACCTTACACTAGTCCTTGAAAATCAAGCCACTCAGCTGATCTTCTGGGACTGGTCAAATCGATCCCTGCAACCATGCTGTTTTCCAACATTTTTTTCCCACCAAATAATGAGGCAGGATATTTTCCCCCCAGTTTGTTAGTGCAAGTATTGAATTTTATACGCGATAAAGTAGTGAAATAAAAACCATATGCCTAAAATTTCTGAGGATCTCATTGGACATACGACATTCGCCACTAGCGTACGGAATTCGTCACTAGTGAAGAATCGCATATTGACTTTCCCCGCCACTGGCGGCCAGCATTAAAATTCAATAAGACTGTCAAGACAACAATTACAATCAGTTTCGTTTGACGGTCCATTCGAGACACCATCCGTAAGCGAATTCATTGAACATCAAGAGAATAATAATGCAAGAAAAAAACACTGCAGGACATTGGATTTCTTCAAGAATTTTTGTAGTCGAAAAATGAATCGCGAAGAATCGAGGACATTTCCGTAGAGCAACTTAATGAATACCTGAGTGAATCTATTATTTCTGTCCGAAAGAAAGAAAACAACGGAGAATACGAACCTAGTTCCCTACGCTCTATGTTCCTCTTCTATGTACGTTCTGGGGTTCTGGCTTGCTATAGGAATCTTATTAAGGTAATTCCGCAGTAATTGTTCCCGAAATGAGAATGTGCTGAACTTCCCAGGCATGGAGTAAAATCACACAAAAAAGTCGGGGTCACTGTAGTATCCAGGCCAATTAATATAAGTTAATATTATACTGTACACTAATGTTTACTAACTTCCGCTTTGTAATTTTATAATGTATTCATTCTCATAATATACAAGTTATACAACACACCAAACCAGGCGGCTATACTCTTGTGTTTATCCGATATTTACCGCGATACACTACATTCTGGCGACGAGAATAATAAACCTACACGTAATCAAATCGACGAAATTGATTATTTTGCTAAAAAGACCGAGTTTTTAGCAACTGAAACGGCCGAACGAAGTTCCAAAGTGCGAACAAAACAAACAAACAAAAAAACGCGCCAAAATAGTCAACAGTACAGCTATTGTTCAACGAAGCGCTTGAACTTAAAACATTTATGGCAACCCCTAATCTTTCTTTGCCTAACTTTCCACCTTTTGACGTCCATGTCGATGGCAACGTTGGCCCACGATGGAAGAAATGGCTAACCAGGTTCGAACGACTTCTTATAGCGACGAACATCACAGAAGCAAAACAAAAACGCGCCCTTTTATTACATGCTGGCCCGGCCGTAGACGAAATCTTCGATACTTTATCTGATACTGGCGAAGACAAGACTATAAAGAAGCAGTAGACGCTCTGAATGCATACTTTTTGCCTCAAGTTAACTCAACATTCGAAGAGTACAATTTTCGCCAAGCAAAACAACAACACGGAGAAAATATTGACGCATATAATACCCGGCTGAGACAACTCGCCCAAACCTGCGATTTTACCGACGTTGATAAAGAAGTAAAATCACAAATAATTATTGGGTGTTTGTCACAACGTTTAAGACGACAAGCTTTGCGTGATAATCCAACTCTTAAAGATCTACTAGCCGCGGGAAGAGCACAAGAGCGAAGCGAAGCACAAGCCGAAGCCGTAGAAAAAGGCGTGTCACCCGTAAATTCCATCAAACACGAGCAAAGCCAAAGAGACACGAGAAAATATCAACAATCGAAGTCCAGATACTTTGGGAACGCTGGAAATCAACAAACACTCCCCAGAAATCGACAATTTCCCACCAGAAATCGACAAATACCCCCGGGAAATCAACAAATACCTACTCAACAATGTCGCAATTGTGGTGGAATTTTTCCACATAACGGTGACTGTCCTGCAAAAGGTAAAGAATGTCGAGCATGTGGGAAAAGCGGTCATTTTGCCAAGGTTTGCAGATCAAAACCCAAACGACGCGAAATCCACCAAGTATCGGAAACCCCATCAGAGGAACCCCAATATCTATTCACCTTGCAGAATAACCATCAGCACAATACGTCACCACTCTGTGAAGTTTACATAGCTAACGAAGCAGTCCAAACCATCATCGACTCGGGTGCCTCTGTCAATGTTATCGATGAATCCACTTACGAAAAGATTCGAAAGCGCAGCAAAAACGCAGTGCTCACTACACCCCGATCCAAGATATTCACATATGGCTCAAATATGGAACTGCCACTCCTGGGCATGACTACACCACTAGTGTACACACTACACTGCAACCTTCTACGTTACCAAAGGACGAAATGGAAACCTTTTGAGTTGCAACACTGCCCAAAGCTTAGGGATCCTAAAAATAACTGTGAACACTGCATTGAACACCGCATTAAATACGCACCCTGAACAAAATTATCCAGACTTGTTCGATGGCATCGGCAAGATCAAAGACAAGAAAGTCAAGCTGCATATCGATCCTGAGATCCAACCTAAGCAACAGTCCCATCGCCGCATTCCATTTCATATTAGAAAAGATGTTGAAAAAGAACTTCAACGCTTAGAAGATCTCGATGTTATTGAAGGAGTCGAGGGGCCCACCCCCTGGGTCAGTCCCATCGTCGTAGTTCCAAAGAAAACAGGAGAAATTCGCCTCTGTGTTGACATGCGAGAGGCAAACAAAGCTGTGAAAAGAGAAAAGCACCTTATACCAACACTTGATGAACTCATCACTGATCTAAATGACGCAACTGTATTCAGCACCCTAGACCTGACATCCGGATACCATCAACTCGAGCTCGAACCCGAAAGCAGGCACATTACAACATTTTCCACCCATGTCGGTCTTCGACGATATAAACGACTCATGTTCGGAATAAATGCCGCATCAGAAATATTCCAAAATTCAATTGCTGAGCTTTTAACTCACCTACCGGGATGCAAGAACATTTCCGATGACATCATTGTTTACGGTCGTGACGTCAGAGAACACGATGAAAACCTGAACCGCGTTTCAACCCGTCTGCGAGAACACAATGCCCGCCTTAACCGAGACAAATGTGCATTCCGTAAGTCAGAAGTTATCTTCTATGGACACTCTTTCAGCGCCGAAGGAATCAAAGCAGCCCCTCAGAAGATCAATGCCATTAAGACCATGCAACCTCCAGAAAATCCAAGCGAAGTGAAGTCCCTCCTTGGTATGGCACAGTATGTTTCACGCTTCATCCCGAATTATGCCACCATTACTGCCCCTTTACGTGCCTTAACCCATCAGAATTCCGTGTGGAAATGGGAGATAGAAGAAGAAACCGCTTTTCGAAAGCTACAGAATGAGCTAACTAGTGACCGAGTCATGGCTTATTTTGACCCAACGAAGTCCACCAAAGTACTCGTTGACGCAAGCCCGACGGGTCTAGGAGCTATTCTAATGCAAGATGGTAAAGTCATCAGCTACGGAAGCCGTGCGCTGACTGATGTCGAAAGTCGCTACTCCCAAACAGAACGAGAGATGCTTGCAGTCGTCTGGGCAACTGAGCATTATCATCTCTATCTATACGGTGCGAAGTTCACACTAATAACTGATCATAAACCTCTTCTCGGAATATTCAAGAGCCACAGGCCTACCTCTCCTAGAATCGACCGGTGGAAGCTGAGATTAATGCCTTACCACCACGAGATCATATACAGACCAGGAAAAGACGATGCTAATCCTGCCGACTTCATAAGCCGTCATCCAGATAAAACCACTCCATTCCCGGATAATATCGCTGAAAACTATGTCAACTATCTTTGCAACAACGTAACTCCTAAAGCTATGACGATGTCAGAAGTGAAGAAAGAAACGGAGAACGATTCCA